TTTTCATATCGGCGGAAAGCTGTTCTGATGCAGGAAATTAAGTTTAGTATTGAAGGATTCTGTCAGTTTCATCAAGACCGCATTTTGCATTTTCTGCAGTAATGATTAATATCTATAAGAAATGAGGATCAGAACAGTGGAGACTTTCATGTTAAATCAAAACCACCTTTATCGATGTGATTCCAGCAAGGTGTTAGATATTTGTCACTGTCATTTCTGGTGCTGAACACACCGATATATCATTGTTTTCTCATTACAGTCACAAGAACTCGGTGAGGGTCATCAAAATGTTTTGTTTTTTAATGCAAAATATAATTTATTTCTTTTCATTATGGGGTGAAATATGATCCCTGGGATTTCTCATGGTTTACCCAGCCGAGACCGATCAAAGTTTCTCTGTTCCGAATCCCTCTGTTCTCTCTGGAAGCCTGTTTCCGCCACTGAATACAAAATAAAAATGCTAATTGTGACTTTTATCTCAAAATTCTGACTTTTTGTTCTCACAGTTGCATGATATAAACTCACAATTGCGTTATAAAGTCAGAATTGCAAGATAAAAACTCACAATTCAGAGAAAAATTTGATTGATTTTTTTTTGGTTGGTCAAAAAAAATTATTTTTCAGAAATGTGATTTTGTATCAGAATTGTGAGTTTGTATGTCACATTTCTGACTTTATTTCTCAGAATTGCGAGTTTGTATCAGAATTGTGAGTTTGTATCTCACATTTCTGACTTTTATTTCTCAGAATTGCGAGTTTGTATCAGAATTGCGAGTTTGTATCAGAATTACGAGTTTGCATCTCACATTTCTGACTATATTTCTCAGAATTGCGAGTTTGTATCAGAATTGTGAGTTTGTATCTCACATTTCTGACTTTGTAACTCGCAATTGCGAGTTTATATCGTACAATTCAGAGAAAAAATGTCAGAATTGCGAGAAAAAAGTCTGAATTGTGAGATAAAAAGTCACAAATAACTTTTTTATTTTTTATTCAGTGGCAGAAATGGGCTTCCATAGTTCTTCTATGCAGCTTTGTGCCAATTGGGAAAAATATATAGTTTCCAGGTTCTCGACACAAAGAGGACCGGAAAACATGAGCTCTTCATAAACCTCCAGTGGAAACAGAAATACTTCTGGGGCATTTAGCGAGTTTCAATGGCATTCCAGTGTTCTTTTAAATCAGAAATCAACATCCTGTCTTTATTGACTCATTGTCCTCTCGTTGTTCCAAACGACGTATATGACTTTCTTTCTATAGTGGGACACAAACAGAGAGATTTTGCTAATTAAATTGGCTGCTTTTTTTTAATTCAGTGAAAGTCAAGCGGTCAAGCTGCTAAAAGAACGAAAAAACACCATTAAAGTTAGATTTAAACAAAATAATAATAATGAAAAAAAAACTTGTGCACTGCATTCTATGTTTTACAGTTACACAGTAGATTTTTGTGAAGAACAGATTGAGAACAGATACTGTAGATCTCGTTTCTCATTTACACAATCCACATATTCATGATTTCAAGCTTGATGCGCAGCAAGTTTGAATATACGCTTAAGATTTGAGAGGGACATTTTCAGTGAATAACAGCTTAATTTGGGTCTTTTCCTCACACTTGGCTCTCAGAAGACTTAAAATATAGAAATATAGTCATATCAACTCCTTATATATACTTTATAGAGCTTGACAGCCCCTATATGTAGCCTATATATGCCCCTATATATAAAAGACACTATATGCTTTCAGTACACAGAACAGCGGGGGAAAAAATCCTAAAAATGTGTTTTTGTGCACATAATAAGGAAAGTAATCTTGTTTTGGAACAACACGAGGACGAGTAAATTATGACACAATTTATTTTCTACATGTTAAATGCACTGTATCTTAATTTCAATTCAATAATGGACTGTAATGTATCATATCACGCCGTCCAAATCCTAAAAAAAAAAAAGTTTTTATTTAGCTAAACATGAACGTTTAATGTATACAGATTGAATTGTGATGTAAAATGCAGTAGAGATCCAGCTTCTTGCTAATCATTCAATGGTCTTTGCTTGAATTATATGTATGAAAGCATAATCAGCACTATTTTAAGTGGGAAGTATTACATTTTATGAGTTATCTTTTTCTTTGCACTTATTGAACGTATTTTATGTTGCCGAATGTTAGTAACTCATGAATTAATATCAGTAATATATTGTTTGATTTCAGTTTCTGTGTATCAGTAAGGATATCTTCAGCTCATTTCTGTCATATCTTTGAATTGGAGATTCAGTGTTTCAGATTCAATGTTTAATGTGCAAGTACACTGTGATGTGTATCCATATCCAGTGGTGTGTTTGTATGTTGTGTCTCATTCAGGTGGAGCAGGCTGTGTATGTGTGTTTGGAGTATGAAGTTCAAATCTTAAACATGCAAAACATTTGGGTAACAGCCCTAAATTATAGTGTCGTGCATGTAGTGCTCTAGTATCTGCTCATAGAAGACTGTGTCTATTTTTTAAACTAGGGATGGATCAGTTGTGATGAAGAATAAAAACTGCAAGCTGTCATTAAAAAGTTTTTGTTCACTTATGTTGTCTTTTGTGTCTATTTTATGTTTTTTTATTTTATGCAACACAGTCATGGAAAACCTGGAAAGGCCACAAAATTTGTAAAATTATGATTTATATGCTTGGAAGAGTGAGTAATGGATATGCAATTTCTATAGCTGTACTCTGAAATGTGTTATTGGCTATAAATACATTTTTGAGTGCGGTATTTATATAAAATGACTTGCATTCAGAAATTACCAACAGTTGGACATTCAGATGAGAAAACTGTCCCTGTGAATGAAAATGATATTCTCAGCTCTTCTGGTCCCTTGATATGTGCGTCTATCGTTGGCCTTATAATGCAGATTCTCCCTTGGGCTAAATGAGAGCAGACTAATTGATCTTCCATCATGTGTTCACCAGGCATGCAGAGACTGACACTTGAAATAAATATGGCATAATTACATTAGATACATATGATGCAATGCGATACAGATATAGTTTAAAATATTTTATGTATTAGATAAAAAAATATGAATAAAATCTATATTGGGTAGATTACTTACAAATTGTACTCCGTTACTGATTCCAAATTGCATAACAAAAATTGTAATTAGTAACGTAATCCATTACATATTGTAGGTAATATAATCAGATTACTTTTGACCTAACCTGTTTATCACATTGATTTAAATAGGACAGTTTTGTACCATATTGATGTAAAAATGCAAAGAAAAAGAAAATATCTTCCATTTGTTGTTATTTACAACATTAAACATTACATTACATCAAGGGTTCGCAAACTGGGGTTCATGAGGGGAACTGGTTCGTGAGTTTAATGAAAAGCAAATAATTAATTAAATCATAAAAATGTAAATTTTAGAATAGGCTAACGTCAATCAAAATAGAACACTTACTAAAAAAAAAAACTAAATATTGTATTTGTTTACCTGCATGTCATGTGACCAATAACCAACGTCAGAGAACCCTGAACATGCAAAATTGATACTTAATAATTAAAATATTTATTTTAAAATCTCAAGGGGACTTCAAGTAAAGTTCAGGAGGTTCAGATGACAGGAAAGTTTCGTATGCAAATAAGAAATAACGTAAATATGTGCATTTGAAAGACAAAAGCCTTCCAAAGACATAATAATACATGGTTAAATAACCCACTGAGCGATAATTCAAATAAAAAATGAGTGTGCTCATCAGAAGTTGATGCAATGTTGCAATGTTGAGAAAACACTTATTAAAACTGAAATGATTTTTGTAAATCCAGTGGTCAAATGCTGTGTGGCGTCTTAGTTTTCTGTATAATTATGGACTTATGTGAAACTGGAGAAAGAGAGGAATTAGGGAGAATTAATACATTATGAATAATTTATTGCTATTGTGTGAATAATATGTAATCATGTAATCAATAAAAAAGTAACTCTGATTAAAAGTATTTTAAAAAGTAATTTACAAGTACTTAATTTTTGGAATCTGATTACGTAATCCAGATTACATGTAATCAGTTACTACCCAGCTCTGTCTGTCTATACGATATGAGCTCATTTATTATGTGACTATAGTAGAGTCTATTTAAATTCTTGCTGGCGGTGGGCGTGGCCTGCGGCTGACGTCACTGCCCGGAATGACCTTCATCTCGGGAATCCTCATCCACTGCGTGGGTGACATAATATCACTTTATTATAAAGAAGCGTTATTATTAACAGCACAGCATATCTGAGGGTCGTGATATAGAAGTCAAAAACCGTTAAATGGACCAAAATGATCTTTCTGATGAATGAAATGTCTTAAAATGTGTCCCCTGCGATGTGAATAGTGAACCCACGCCCTTTTAAAGAGCAACACAGTGGATAAGATGTAACAAAATTATAATTTAAGAAATTACGTATTAGTGTTACACATTCGAATCATACTGACAATGTTTTTGCAATCATTTTATTGCAAATAAGTTACATAATGCATAAAACATTCTGATCGTAACACGGCGGTTTTAAAAACACGCTATTTTGGGTTGTTTTATGTGGGAAAATCCGTACTTTATTTACCATTGAGACGTCCCTGTCAGTATGAAATGATTTAATAATAAAATGAAACATGCGGAATAAGTTTAAGAGTATAATATATTCACAACCAGATTATAAACGCATGATTTTTATTCTAAGGATTTGAACATCTTTAGTTTTAAAGGGAAAGCCCGCAGCGGAGCGAACTATCTGCTCTACTAATAGGGGAGGCCACAAAACCACAAAACTTTTAAATCTCTGTCTGCATTGCATCCATATGCTTTCTATTTAATGATTTCATAACGATTTCTATTTCACATTCCTTCTTGGACTCTATTTGAAAAAGTATACCGGCGCATCCCTCTATTTCGTCACTGTCCACCCCCTCCGGTAACCGAATGGGATTTTCCTCACGGTGTGTCAGGTGACACTTTCGGCCATTTTGTACCGCAGATACATCCTACAGGATCTGTTGGGTGCAGTTTCCATCGTTCGGTTGTGGTTTAAAACCGTTGTTCTCTGCCAAACCGTTTACCCTCAGAGCCCGGTACCCGTCAGTTTGTACGGTTCTGCCCGTGTCCAGCAGCATTAGCTCGGTGTTACTGGGGTTTTGAGGTGAAATTAGAGGAATAATGTCGTCGGGAAGCCCTGAATACTCGTCGTTCTTCGCAGTGATGGGCGCATCAGCAGCGATGGTCTTCAGCGGTAAATTTTATTTTAAATGTATTTATTTAACATATCTGTTAAACATAATTATATTTGCATAATTATTTGATCTCGATTGTAATAAAAATCTCCCTCTGTTGGTCACATTATTCTTGATATCTGAGGAAATGTCATTCTAATTATTGGTATTATTTTTTATTATTATTATTATTATTATTAGAAAAATAGATATACTTACTTATTTTACACATTTTTTTTTAACTTTTATTAATCATCACCTTCAGATTTGACATCAGAAATGATGTCTGCATCATTATAATTTATAATCCAATCCTGTCAGTGCTGGTTCCATTATTCCTGGTGTCTTATGAAATATTATTATTAAACACGTTCTTATCATAATTATGATACATTTCATATTAGTTAAAATCTGCTTTCACATAATGATTTCTGTATGATCATATCCATGCATGTCCTAGTTGAAAAATTGCTCATTATTGATATGTAGCTGCAACCGGCCTCTGATTTAACCAGCTATGTGTGACAATTCATTCCCTGGTTTGGGTAGATTTAGAGATTATATTTTTATTTTATTTGCAGGGCAAGGGATTATTTACAAGGTTAAACTGTTTTTTTCCACAGGTATTGATCATCACTCTCATTTGATTGGTTTCAGAGACTGAACTATTGAATTTAAGGTGCAGCCTGTAGTTGTGCATTAGATAATTATATTAACAATGTGATATTTCCTGATTTATTGAGTTTTTTTGTTGTTGTTGTTAAATTAACACCAAAGTGCAAGTTGTTCTGATGCATATTATATTAAGATTGGTTTGTAGTCATTAACAGCTTTAAGGTGACTGCGAGTGGTGATAAGGAGCAGGTTGCATCATATCATCCATCACAGAAGACGACGAACTAGCCTGAAATAGAAAGAAAAAAAAAAAGGAAAATTCCAATGAAATGAATTTTTAATAATCAGACCTTAATTTCTTGCTAATTTTAACAGCTTGTACTGTGTGTCAGGATGCTGAGACGAGCTGAAATGTATGTGCAAATTACAGTAGTGAGTGTGTGTTTCCAGCACGAGGCGTCATGCTGTTTATTCTCCGCTGGACTGTTAGAGGGCACTTCAGGCCTGTTTGGTCTGGTTATCTGTAACGTTATCTCTGTGAATGTCAGTATCAGGAATGCAAACAAACTAATACAGCAGCTGGTGTGTGTTTGTTTAAAATGCATACAGTGCTGGCTGGAGAGAGTGTATTTTTCTATTAAGTGAGGTCAGCAGATGCTCTGCCAGGCCATTTTGCGTGTGTATTTGCGATTGAATGATGCAATTCAATGAGAACGGCACTGAGCTCGAGAAAAAAAAACAGGGGCAGGTCTCTCTCATCCACGCCTTTTGTGAGTAAAGTAATGCGTTTGTGAGTCTAGAATTTCTTCTAGAGTATACATCCAGGTTCAGTTTGTCACTGAACATGAAAGCCAAATGCAGAGAAGAAACCGCTGAAGTTGAATTATTATTTATATATTTGAGGGATTCTGCTGCTTTAGATGTGAAATGCAGAATAAAGCTGGCGACCGCTCAGTTCTGTTTAGCGCTAAAATAAACTTGAAATCAAAATTAGCTTTAATTACCGTATTGACCCAAATATAAGACTATGTTTTTTTCTTGGAAATACATCTGAAAAAATTCAGTCTTATTGTCCTAATTCAGATGGGCTACCTGTTTTTTTTTTTTTTTTTTTAATGGTATATCAAAAAGTGTATATTTTTTAAATGTGATTGTTTTTACATTTTTAGCAGTTTTTACCATATTTTCAAAACAAAAATTTAAATAGGAAAAATATGCAATATGAAAATAATTGAAGACAAAATGAGTCTTTTTCCAAAAGGTACATCTGGAAAAAGGGGGGGTCGTCTTATAATCAGGGTCGTCTTATATTCGGGCCAATACGGTACTTCATAATTTGTATTTGAACTCTTAAGGCCTGTTTGCATCAATAATTCTAAGTTGCCTATAATGATGGTTATAACAACACTGTATTAGCGTCCACACCAACAGACAATAACGTTATCATACTAAGCAAAAACGCTTTAAATTCTCCAGCTCTTGGATGGTTTCTGATTGGTTGCCAGTGTTTTTATCGTTCATCAGCTGGAAAAAATTGATATTGTTACTCTGTGCTGCCTGTTACACTTATTTACACGTTATTGTTACAGATATCGTTCTTGGCCTTTATTGTGCACAGTTAATACATTATTTCTTATAAAAACATGTTTGTCTTCATCAATTGCTCCGCTTCTCAAACGACTGTCTGTTTCAGGTGACATCATCAGGGCCTCTTATTTTTAGCCCCTCCCCTTTGTCCATCTGGCTCCATCCCAGTATGCAACACCCCTTTTATGATCCAATTAATTGTAGGTGGCCCTACATTATATGTCCTGTTGTTCCCATAAATGTCACATTGTAAAGTAAAACAGGTTTCATGCTTTATATGTGTCTAGACGACAACAGGGCTTTTATTTTGCTTTTTTAAAGAATGTTCTGGATCTTATTTTTTGTTTTTATAGCTCAAATATACACTTATTAGTGCCCTTAAACAAGTGCATGACTCATTTTTTTTTTCATTATGGATTTATTACTGTAACCTTGATTCATTTCATTTCAAATTTTTTTTACTGAGAGATGAGTTGAAATTGTTTTCAGTGGCAATCTGCATTTTGCCACAAATGCCGTCAGTAGAGCTTAACTTGTAATGAACCCAAAACATTTCTTTATAATGGCCAGGAGTGAGCAAGTTAGATGTTGATCCAGACAGGTAGTCAGAAGGAACGGATGTATTTGATCTCAGATGTTCCACACAGACGAAGTGAGTTATTCTGTGAATCCCTGTCATTCAGGCTCAGCTGATCTGATCAACACTGCGTTTACTTGTGGAAGAAGTGATGTTGTGACTAACAGGCGCTGTGCACACTGTGTCTTTGGAAGAGCTGAAGCTAATTTGGGATGTTAGTCTTTTATCTGACTTGGCATCCTGTCATAGTTCAGTCTGTGCAGTCCTGTGCTCGTTTGTAAGTCTCTCTCTAAAGATGCCTTTACTAAATAAATGTATATGTTTAGTAAAGCAGGTTAGTATAGCAGAATGCAGTTGTTGCAGGTAGGCTATCTTCAGGACTAGTAGGGATGAATTATCAAATATGGTGATAGACCAAAATATTGTATAGCTGATTAATTGGATAATATTTGGGATATTTTTTCTATTTTTAATATCAGCAAATAACTTAAAGGCACAATATGTAAGATTTTTTTATTAAAATATCCAAAAACCACTAGAACAGTGTTATATATTTTGCTGACTTGTGTACTTGCATTATCCCAAATGTTTCGAAGAATGTTTAAATCCTGAGAAATAAGCAATTTTAACTAATGACACGGAGCGTGTCTATAGTGTAATTGTGTTCGCCTGCCAATGATGTCATAACCCCTCGATTTCCGGTTTTGTTTTGTAGAAAACATGGAAACACCAAAGACGCTTTAATATGTTGTGCATTTTAATAGACCAGTGACGACCGCACAGAGTAGCATTATAACAGAACTTTCAAATGTATCTAGTATGATAAAACAGCGCTGCTTTACCCCACATACGCACGACCGGAAGCAGCGGAAGCGGTCGACTGTGGCATAATAAAAGCTCCGCTGCTTTCGTTCCGTGTGTCACGCTCGTTTAGCAATTCCACACTCAGTCACAGTGTCATCAAACTATGCCTTTGTCTATTTGTTTATTTTGAATACGCGCCCTCTAGCGGCGTAAATTACATATTGTGCCTTTAAGCTGAGTAAGTAAATATTGTTATAATGCACAAATCATTTCCATTATATTTTTATAGTTAGTCATCATGTCAGTTATTGGCATAAAGGTTAAGAAAAATTGAATTAATTATTGCCATTGTGGATGGGTCACAGTTTTATCTAGTATCTTTTTTTCTTTTTTCTTTTTTCATTTTCGTTTGTAATCAGCTGTGCTTTTAAAGTCATCATATCCATTTTTGGTCGTTGCATTGGGTGTTGCATATTTAAGACATGTCAAGTTAAAATAGTCATTAAACAGGGCACTTCTGATCATTTTGGTTATATTTAGTTTTGCATATAATCTGTATCAGTCAGAATGTCTATATCTGTATATCTCTAGTCTTCATTTCCAGACTTTTCCTCCATTTAATATGTCCATATCTCATTGAGGGTCAGTTCTGGTTCTTCAGGATTATCCAAAACCTTTCCTTGGTCACAGTAATTCATCTTAAATGTATCTAAATGCCAGATGGTTTTACCAAGATGTCTGCATCATCAGACCATGTTATGAATGAAAGGTCTACTTGCTGATTTTTTTATTTATTTTTTTGTAAAAATAGACATGACCTAACTAACTGTGTATACAAAATGCTGAATTGGTCACGCAAGACTTGCCCATCAACAATAAAGCAGAGTTTATTCGAATATCCTGCTTTAAATTATATTCAGCATTGGTTTCATTCATAAATGTAATTATTAGACCATTAAAAAAAAACTTCTGGGAAAAGCTTAGATTTTCTGTCAAATATAAAACTGCTAGAGCTTATATAATGAATATAATTTTATAGTGTTGCAAGAAAACATTTTTTAATTATTTTATATAATTTATGGTAACACTTTACAATAAGGTGTCATTTGTTAACATTAGTTAATGTATTTAACAAATTAACAATGAATAATACATTTGTTACAGTATTTATTCATCTTTGTTAATGTTAGTTAATGAAAATACAGTTATTCGTGTTAGTTCACAGTGCATTAACTAATGTTAACAAATACAACTTTTGATTTTAATAATGCATTAGTAAATGTTGAAATTAATGATGTTAACATTAATATGTTAATGTAGAAGTATTGTTCATGCTTAGTTCATGTTAACTAATAATGGTAACTACTGTTAACTAATGAGCCTTATTGTAAAGTGTTACCTAATATTTATATTTATTGTATTTCATTGTTATGATTATTTTAATTTGTACTACTTAAACTGTTGTTAAACTGTGTTATTGGCTAGTTTGGGTGATTCTGTGCTGCAGTAGTAGTTGTAATCGTGGTTAATGCAGCAGGGTTACCCTTTAATCCCGGAAACTAAGATTAGACTAAGGTTAATGTGCAGCAGCATGTTAACCGTGAGCAGAATTAACAACTCTACACACGTCAATGTGTTTTCCAAGACTGCTGCAGCCAGATGTAAAATACAGAGGATTCATGCTGGGAGAAAAGGAAAAAAAAATGATACAGCCCTTCTAACTTGGTTTAGTTACCTGGTTTGAAAAAGTAAAAAAAACAAAACAAAAACATTATAATAATAATAATAATAATAATAATAAATGTAGTTACTTGAAATAAAACAAACTTTAACTGAAATAAAATATTTTTAGTCGCCAATGCAGCATTTGCTTATTTTCATTTAATTTATCCTGATGTGCTAAAATAACTAAAAACTAAAACTGAAATAAAAAAATGACAAAAACTATGTAGACAAAAATAGAACTAATAAAAATGACAAAAACACAACAAAATTACTAAAACTTAACTAAAATTAAAATGACAGTAGAATATATAAAAATAAAAAACAATGTAAGCTCAATGAACCTAAAGTAAGACTGGTTTCAGCCTGAAATCACCCATCTGCCAGTGCTTAAAGTATTATATTTTCTCCATGGTACATTTCTGATTTCAGTATGGGTGTTATTGGGACTGACTTCCTTAGTAAAAATAGAAAGTGTTATTGTGGTTTGTTTGATAATGGAATCTTCACTATTACTATTCTCATTCAGTTTTTTGAAAGAACTAATCATAAGTATTAAACTTTTGTTGAAAAGAGTTCTGTTATTCTTTATAAGTTGTCAAATTTATGAATTTTGAAATTTATGACAATACATGCAACGTGCAGACAACCCCGCAGCCTTGCAGAATGTGATAGAAATGCCCTGGCAATCGATTAGCAGTGCTCTAAAACACCCTAGCAACGGCGAGTCTGTTCAGAAGTGTAAAACTCCAGCTTACTCATGTTTTGCTCTTTTGGTTTCACTACTGAACACCGCAGAAACATTGCAGAATCATGCTGTTCGCTGAAGGCCGTTTCTGCAGAGTCAGGCAGTGTTGAGAAATTATGCAAGCTTACGCATCATGCAGTCTACACTTGATCACTTTCTTTTTGAAATCTGTATGATATTGGTAATGATTTTTGTATATTTTAGAGCTGGGTATAGATACAACTATATTTAGTCGCTGTTTGAGTGCACTTTTATTGGGAAGTCAAATAATGTGACATTCATATTTCAATGCAGTTTTGTTATAATAATAATAAAGGAAATTGTACGTGAAGAGTAAGCAGCTTGTGTGTGTCTGTGTGCAGCGTTGGGCGCGGCGTATGGCACAGCGAAGAGCGGCACGGGTATCGCTGCCATGTCCGTGATGCGTCCGGAGCTGATCATGAAGTCCATCATTCCTGTGGTCATGGCGGGAATCATCGCTATATACGGGCTGGTGGTGGCCGTCCTCATCGCCAACAGCATCTCAGACAAGATCACTCTGTACAAGTGAGTTGAACATATCATCACTTAAACTCTGATTCTGATCAGGGTTATTATAGGTAACTAAATAAATGGATGTATATATATATATATATATATATTATAATTTCAGTTACCATTTATTTTATCTGAAGTAACAAAAGTGTTAATGTTATAAATGTTATGAATAGTAGATAAACACAACAAAATTACTAAATATTTTACAAAATTGAAAATTTTAAATACATACCAATTCATAATATTAATAAATGCTATAATATTGTCTTGATACTATAATTTCGTATTATATTATTATAGTTTGTGCAATACCAAAATTTCTGTCATTGATTCCAGTAGTATTTTGCTATTTTTATCTGTATTGCTGATATTGTAGAAAGCTTGTTGTTGTTGTTGTATTGTTTTTTTTCAAAACATTCATACGTTTCTTTAGAAGTATATATTTTTTATGTATTTATTCATGCATTTATTTTAAATTATTTATTTATTTTTAATTCATTAATTTATTTTTAATATAAATAATATAAATGTATTCGAACATTGATTTACTGTAAATAAATTTCACTCTTTAAAAATGTTTCCATTTTGAAAACAGTAAATTACTTAAGTTTTCACAATCTATTAGGTCTCATTCATGAATAATTATGTGAATTATTTCCATTTACACCAAAAAAAAAAAGTCCCAACCCTTTTTTTTTTTGTCATTTACTCATTCATGTAGTTATTTATTTTACTAACTGTCTGATTGTTGTGTGTGTGTGGCAGGAGTTTCTTGCATCTGGGTGCAGGTCTGAGCGTGGGTCTGAGTGGGCTGGCGGCTGGTTTTGCCATCGGCATCGTGGGAGACGCAGGCGTCCGTGGCACTGCTCAGCAGCCGCGCCTCTTCGTCGGTATGATCCTCATTCTGATCTTCGCTGAAGTTCTGGGTCTCTACGGCCTCATCGTAGCCCTGATTCTCTCAACCAAATAAACTGGCAGTCAGCATGCTGCGCTGCCAGACCGCAAGACGGGCACATGGAACAAAAAGGAAAAAAATAATAGGTACCTTAAAATTAGATGAATTGAGAGGTGGGGAAATAATCCTACACATTATAACAGGCTCTGCGTTTGGTTTTATCTCTGAAAGTGTACAGTCGTCTCAGTTTGATCGTTTTGATTTCTTGTAAATGCGGTATATAGTGATTTCGTCCTGTGTCTGTGAAGAAAAAAAAAATCTATAATAATAATAATGCTGTAATAGATCTCATTCTCTGTTTGTTTCCACACCCCTCCTGCCTATCGAGCTGTTAGCCAATCACGCGTTCTCTTTCGCTCCCGTCATGTTAGAGACGGAAACGCAGGAACGCCTCTGGTTCCTGTCTCTTCCTGTCACGTGATTTGGGAGTTTTATACATTTCCACATTGGTGTCAAGAAGTGTTTGTGAAGTGGAAAAACGCACTGGCGAATCTGTATGTGGAATGGAGTAGTTTTTGTTAGTGTCCTTTTTTGTTTTCCATTGATTTAATTTATTGAGAATATTGTTCATGAAAATGTACTTGAACCTCCTCAAATCCTTTGAATTGATATTTATATAAACATATAAATATATATATAAATACAGATATATATATATATATATATATATATATATTAGAGCTGCACTGGCCGGGGTTCTGGCGAGTGCAGTTGTCTGGGAGTATTTCAGCTCGATGTGTGTATTTCTGGTTGTTTCCTGTGTATATCTGATGTTTGGTTGTATTAAAGGTGTGCGTGTGCCCCTCGACGGGTCTCACAACTGTAATTTCCACATGCCTGTGTTCCCTGTGCTTCTTCATCATCAGACGGCTCGTGTGAGTGTGTTCAGCTGTGTGTGTTTGTCTTCAATCTCAACCTTGAAAATAATTCACCAACAGCGCTGATAGAGTTACAGCTAAATGACCTTAACATCCTTAAAGCTTTTTTTTTTTTTTTTAATTGCTTGATTTTTCACAATCCATTACATGGTCTCATTTACTAACAATTATGTGGATTATTTCTATTTACACAAACAATTCTTGTTATCACAACACTTGCATACACACATGTATTTGGTCTTAACCTCATTCTAATGCAGTGGTTCTCAACCATTTTTTAACATTTTCTCAAGTGTTCCTGAAATTTTTTTTTTTCTTTAACAGAATCTGGGTGTAAAATTAAAATTAACATTCAATTTTGTGATTCTATAAGATTAAGATTCTGACTCGGGTATGTTTTTCAATAAAAACAATAGTTATTGAGAGGGAAATCATAGATCTATTGTTTATAAGGTACCCCAGAGTATATGTGGTTTTTGTGTACTTGTGGTTATTTGAAGAGTTTGAAAAGTCACTATATATTTTATATAATAAATACATATATTAGGACAAAAAAAAAACTATGAAGAGATTAAATATTTGTTAAAATGGCATGGAAATAGTAGTGGAACAGGCCAAATGGCTTCCTTATTTTCAAACGGGGGGACAAAAAGGACACCATTTCTTTTACATCTAGTATTTTTTTATTCAAAGCTACACGTTTAAAACGCATTGCATTATCAAGATACATATCTAGTATTCTCCAGATTTCAGATCGATTTTACAGATAAATCCTCTCATTACAAAAGACATCAGATGAAACAGGAATGTGAAGCGTCATCTCAGTGTCTGTCGTGTATCGACCGTGTTCAGTCAGTACTGTTTCAGGCATCCAGGCTGCTGAGGACAGTGTTCACTATTTGACTGATGGCCGTGTACGTGCTGCTCTCTGGAAACGCCTGCAGGAAGTCCCGCCCCTCCTCTAAAGTCGCTGTCAAGAGCGGATCCAGCGGCACTGAGCCTACACACACACAATCAGTATAAGTGTTTAAACAAAAAGGATGTGAAGTACAGGGGTTCAAAAGCCTGAGACCACCAGTTAAAATGCTTCTAAAACTGCATTTTTCTTATTAAATAACAACAAATAATTACATGTTAATTATTTATTGTAAATAATAATAATTCAAATTATTATAATAAATCATAAAGGTTGAAAATTTAACGAATTCAAGTATGTCCTAGTATTTGGTTTGTTTGACATGCACATGTTCATGTTTTAAAGCATGTTTTGAGATGTTTCACAGAGCATCTTAAAATGTACAATTTTATAATATTTATAACTTTTTATTAAAATATATTTTTTTTATAAAAAAAAAAAAAATGTATTTCAAAACAGAGCAGAATCTTTAGTATTTCATGTTTTAGTATAGCATGTTTGTTTTCATTTTACTTTCTCAGGCTGATCTTCAGTGTGACCTCAGACTTTTGGACCACACTATAGTGTCATCTATGCTGCACTCAAAACTCATTGAAATAAAACACAAAATGAGATGCTGTGCACCATCAAGTGGTGAGTGGTGGAACAACACAAGTGAAAAGTGTTGGTTGATCGGCACATTACCTAGAAACACAGATCCTGTGAGCTTGGCTAATTCCTCACCTCCACCTTTAGAGAAAACGTTACTGCACTCCTGAAAAACACACATCAATGTTCAAATACAGATTGTTAGATGGCATTTTCCCGTACAGCTGTATGTGTTCGATACTCACAGAACAGTGTGGACACACAAAGCCGCTCATGTTCTCCACGATGCCCAGGATTTTCACGGCTGTCTTCTTACAGAAGGTGATCTCGCGCCGCACATCTCCTGTAGACACTGCCTGACATTTGAAAAGGTTGTTAATGCATGTTATTCAGCAGACTAGAGATTTACAGTATCATTATGTTCACCTGTGGTGTAGTGACCAGCACGGCTCCATCCACTCTGTGTTTGCGCAGGTTCTCGAGCACGGCCAGGTGTTCGTCTGACGTCCCCGGGGGCGTGTCCACCAGCAGGATGTCCAGTTCGCCCCATGCCACATCACTGACAAACTGCCCAATCAGAGCTGAGGAAGAGACAAGGGATGTGAGACGTGAACACATCAGGTACCAAAGTTCAAAAGGTTAAATGGCAAAGGTCAGACCTGTTTTTTTGGGCCCCCTCCATATGACAGCCTCATCCGAATCCTCCAGCAGGAAGCCGATGGACATGATCGCGAGCTTCTGCTGGGGGTCTGCGTAGACAGGCACCCACCCCGCGTCACACTGATGCACCTCCGGCTTCCCCACACTCAGCATCCGCGGGATACTGGGCCCACACAGATCCACGTCCAGGATACCCACCTGGAGACCAAAACAAACAACATCATGACGAATAGAATAGAATAGAATTTAGTAGATCAGACCATAATAGAATACAGCAGAACAGAGCAGATTAGAATAAATACAGCAGAATATATTAGAATAAACCAAAATAGAATAGAGCACAAAATAATAGAATAGAGCAGAAGAGAATGGAATAGTGCAGAATATAATATAATAGAGCAGAATATAATAGAGTAGACTGAAATATAATACAATAGAGCAGAACTGAATAAAACAGAATAGAGCAGAATAGAATAAAATAAAATGCAGCACAATATAATGGAATCTAGCATAATAGAGCACAATAGAATAGAATAGAGCAGCATATAATAAAATACAGCACAATATAACAGAATAAAGCATAACAGAATAGAGCAGAAGAGAATCGAATAGTGTAGAATATAATAGAGTAGACGGGAATATAATAGAATAGAGCAGAACTGAATAAAATACAGCACAATAGAATAGAGCGGCATATAATAAAATACAGCACAATATAGTAGAATAAAGCCTAATAGAATAGAGCAGAATAGAATAGAGCAGCACAGAACTGAATAGAGCAGAACAGAATAGAATAAAGCAGAATAGAATATAGCAGAATAGTAAAAAAGAACATAAAAGAATAGAGCAGAATATAATAGAATAGAGCAGAATATAGCAGATTATAATACAGCACAATATAACAGAATAAAGCATAATGTAATAGAACACAATAGAATAGATCACAATGTAATACAATAGATCTGCATAGAACTGAATAGAGCACAATAGAATAGATTAAACAGATCAGAATAGAATAGAGCAGAATTTAATATAACAGAGCAGCATAGAACTGAATAGAGCAAAATATAATATAATAGAATTGTGAACAGAGCACAATAGAACAGAATAAAGCAGAAGAGAATAGAGCAGAATAGAATCAAGTAAAACAGAATATAAAAGAATAGAGCACAATATAACAGAATAGATCTGCATTGAATTGAATAGAGCAGAATAACAGAAGAAATGGAGCACGATAGAATAGAAGAGAGCAGCACAGAATTAAATGGAGCACAATACAATAGAATAGAACAGAACAGAATCAAATAGAATAGAATTCAGTGGTATTTCACCTTCTTGCCCGCATGTACGAGCGCCAGGGCGAGTTCAGTGGTGATGGTGCTCTTCCCCACTCCACCTTTACCAGACAGAACCAGAACCACGTGCTTCACCTGAGCCAGACTCCCTTTCTCTGAGAGACATGCGCACATGTGAGAACATGACGTTTCTATTTAATTCACCCATTTATAGATATTTAGATATTGTGTTGTCTTTACTGTTTATTTAGACCCCTTACAAAAATACTGCAGTGGTACAGTGATGCTATAATGTAATATCATGGTACTTGGATATATACCATGATTACCATAATTGTGTACCAATGGAAGTCCAAAGAATAGCATCATAAAAGAAACATTGTATTTCCAATCTAGGTGTCCAAAAACATGACATTATTTGGGTTCAAATACACAGGGTTTCTGCAGACATTAACAGAATTTAAGATGTATAGCATCATAAAAGAAACATTGTATTTCCAATCTAGGTGTCCAAAAACATTACATTATTTGGGTTCAAATACACAGGGTTTCTGCAGACATTAACAAGTTAAATTTAAGACTTTTTAAGACCTTTTTAATACCACCTTATATGAAATTTAAGACCTAAACCTGTAATGGAAATACACATTTTATTACATGCATATATGTAATATTTAATGTGTATAAATTAAAAAGAAAACAAAATATAATTGCTGTAATAAATGGTATTTATAACTACGATATACAGCGAACTTTTAATGTCAGCAGACAATATTAAATAAAATATAACAAAATATCCCTGCAAAATAACTGCATCACTGAGATTTTTGATGGAGTAAACAATTTATTCTGAAGCAATATTTTCATCAGTGTTTTATCAGCTTTTACATACTTAAATCTGCATATTTACCTTTACAAAGGCCTATTTTTAACCTTTTTAGATGTATGCATAATCTTACATGTCAAATTATTACAATTTATCAATAAATTCAATATACACTATAGGGCTGCTACCAGTCAGATTAAATAATTTACACTGCAAATAACAATAATTACAACTGCAATAAATAATGTTATGAGATTAATGTTTTAAATGCATTT